GCCCGGGAGTGGCCGCGGCGGCCGCTAATCCAGAAGCTGAGCCGGAAGGCCGCCCGCTGGGCGAGGAGACAGCTCCGGGAGCGAGCCCCAAACCCCGCACCTCTTCGGAGCCTGCAGCGCCCGAGACGGGCAGCCCCTCTGGGCGCGCAGCTGACAGCGATCCCGAGGGAGGGCAGAGGGCGCCCTCGGACCTGGAGGTCTTCCGTGGGAGCGGGCCACCGGGAGGGACGGGGCTTCTCGGCTTCGATGGGCCCCAATTGCGCCGCCCCCGGGGATTCTGCCAAAGGCACCCTCCTTTCCTCCTCCTTGGCCCTCCTTTCCTGCACGCGCACACGCGCGCGCACCCCCCACCGCGCCCTTTGGGGACAGGCCGGATGCCAGGGTCCTCGCTGGGAGGAGGGTCGCCCGGTCCCGCCTCCCTCCCAACCTTCATAAGCCGAGGCTCTCGGCAGCCGGGCGGAGCTGCGAGGGGAGGGTGGCCGCGGCCGTGTCGCCGAGGGGCTCCTTCCTGGACCCGGACCGCCCGTGCTCGGATCCCTCGCTTCCACCTGCCCCTGGCAAGATGCAGGTGGGATCGGGTAGGGTAGCGTCTTTCTTCCTTGACGCCCAGCTCGCGGTCTTGGGCCGCCCGAGGCCCGGGGGACCCTGGCCCTGCGAAGCCCCTTTGGCGCAGAAGTCCCCGGGGCTTGGCTGGGGGAGCGGCTTGGGCGGAGACCGCGAGGGAAGGGAAGGGAGGGCTGGATGGAGGCGAGTTAGCCACCCTGCACCGCCACCCAGGCATGGCCAGGCTGCGTTCCCCACCGGGGGTGAGGAAGGGTGCTCCTGACCCTGCAGCCCCGGGGCTCTTCTGTTCTGAGGCACTGCCACTAACTCCAGTAACTTTCGCTGTCAGATTGGTTTGTTCGGCCCTGTGGATTCTTGGTTTGGGGTCTCTTGAAAGGAGTGCACCTGGGACAGGATTCTGCTGGCTGGTGCCTTTCCGTGGGGCAGCAGCAATGTTTGAATCGCCCATGGATGAAAGAAGCAATCGGCATCTGGGGCCTTGGACAGGAAGCAGGAGATGTCATATTGGCGGGGGCCTCCAGACTATCAGGGTTCTGAGAGAGCATTTGGGTTGGGCCTTCCCAGTGGGAAGACCTCTTGGTTACAGGGATCTGGACTGTGTGCCCCTGGATCACCCCCTCCCATTTTTTTTACTTCTAAGGCAAATGACTCTCCAATAATTTGTCCCCTGTTCTGGGTGGGGTTAATATCCTGCAATTCCCCCCCCCCCCCCCCCCCCCACCCATTTTTTTTTCCCCCAAGAGAAAAAATATTTCAAAAATTTTTTCCCCTTTTTGGGGGGGGGTTTAAATCTCCCAAACCCCCCCCCCCCCCACACACACACACATTCT